GGGCATTCCATACATCTTATAGATCTTTTCGTGATCTCTGGCTGACCGTTATTTTGAATATTGGATTCTTCGCGACTTTAAGTAATAAGAGGGGTTGGTCCCCAGACTCCCTGGGACAACGCTCTGGCGCCAAAACTATAAAACACTAAGTGCAAATCCTACGGGGCCGTCTCTAAGAGTAGCACAAAGTTATTATAAGGAAACGGATTCTGTTCCTCTGGTATTCAAAATCCGCGGTCCATTACAGACATGTTGTCATTTGGTCATGAGTTTTGTCGTTGTTGAAGGAGCTGGCCAGGTGTTGGAAGGAGGGAGCAGTGGCCATGGCGCTGCTCCCGGTATAGGCCCTACAAGATTGCCAGCATTTGGAGTTTGCATCGCAGATACACAGTTTCCATGGTCTGTGTAAGACATGCTGGTTGGCCATGCGTTGGGCTCAGTGTTCATCGGTGAGGGCAGTTGGCCAATAGTTGGGGAGAAAAGGCCGCTGCCCTTGTGCTACTCCTAGAGACGGCCCCACCATAGGATTACCAGGGTGTGGATTCTGTCTCGTAGGGACACTGTTTCTTTGGTCTGTATCAGCCATGTTGATACATGTTGGCACCATGTTGATACATGTTGGCACCATGTTGATACATGTTGGCACCATGTTGATACATGTTGGCACCATGTTGATACATGTTGGCACCATGTTTATTGGTGGGGGAGTTGGCCAGGAGTTGAAGTGGGCAGGGAACCGTTCCCTTGGTGTTTCCATCTGACAGTGTCCCCCTTGGATAGAGAAAAAATGTTGCTTAGTTATTAATGGTGACGTATAACGTACCTTAATTTGCTTTGTATTAAGCTGTGCTCCTCTTTAAATTCCGTTGAGTCATGCTATGCATTGACTTGTGTTTATATCTGGGCCTCATCATTGCAGTGCTAATGCTAGGATGGGGGAGAACCGAGACGGTCACCCCAAACGACCCAACCTTTGTGGTATCGTCTAAGCCACATATATATATATATGTCTCCCAATGTCTATATATATGTCTCCCAATGTCTATATCCCCGCCTTCCGCTGTGTTATGCCGTAGTAAACTTCGAATGGTGCTTCACTCTCCTGGGAAGCTTTGTTGGCGCCACGCTATTTTTTAAACAAATTTCGCTATATCCGGCTGAGACATATTTGCTCTGTTGCATTGCATTGCAATGCACTGAATTTTGGGCTGGTAGCTCTGTATTGCTTTAAGTAAGCAACTTGTATTATGCTGCATTTACGCCGCCGGGTTAGCCTCTTACCATTGTAATGAAACTACAGAAACGATATTAACAGTTCCATTCCATTGCTAAGTTAGGTTCAATATGGTGGCGCTGTTTCCTTCCCTGCGTAACTGAACTGGAGGGGGTTTCTTTGCATGCCTATGTATCACGTTACGCTTAACAGTTCTTCTAACTTCTAACTTATTTGAGACAGGAAGATTCACTAAGAGTTGGTGTGTATGATTTTAGGCTGCTGCAATAAGTCTGTGCTCTGTGCTTACCTGGTGGACTGGGACGGAACCTTGGTGGAACATAGGCTGATAGTTTCGAAAGAAACTGTTTGGGGCTGCGTCGGTGGGAGTAACGAAATAATTTGGATATATCAACAAAGTTGAAATGGTAAATTGGCCACCGTAATGATTCCGACCGCATTCCTTATAAGGAAGATTCCGACCGCATTCCATTCACTCTCACGTTTCACCCTCACAACCACTCAGTTAAATCCATCATTCTTAAAAACTTCAAATTACTTCAAAACGATCCAGAGACAAGCACTATCTTTTCGC